GAGTCGTCGAGCCCGTTCCTCGCGGCCGTCGACGCGTTCCGCGACTTCCCCAAGCTCGCCGAGCGATGGCCGAACACGAACGAGGCCTGCCGCATCACCTTCGCCGTGGTCTTCTACATCGTCCGAATAGTCGGCTGGGTCCCCGTGTCGAAGATGTTCTGGCTCGACGCGCTCAGCCTCCTCGAGGAGGGCGCGGCCCTCCACACCATGCCGCGCTGGGTGCCCGCCTTCTGGCTCCTCACCCACGCCGGCCTCTCCTGCCTCCAGGCCTGGTGGGGCTTCCTCATCCTCAAGGCCCTCTGGGCCCTCGTCACGGGCGACGAGTCCGCCCGCGCCAACGAGGCCAAGTCCGCGTGAGACGGGGCGGATCATCATCATGCGGGGGCTTTTAAGGGGCGGGGCGGGCGACGGGTAGAGCGACGGGCGGCGCGCCGCGGCCTAGCCCTTGACGTTGCCCGCGGACATCTCCGGGTTCTCGCCGACGGCCTCCTTCTCGAACTCGAACTTCTGGCCCGACGGCGGCGCCTTCTCGACGCCGAGCGTGTTCACCTTGAAGTCCGTCGTGAGCGCCGGCCACACCATCCAGCCTGCGGCGAAAGCGCGGCGTTTCGAAGCGCCCGGACGTGTCGCGCGCGCGCGGAGCGAGGGCGTCGCGCGACGCGCGCCGCTGGAATCGGACGCGGGCCGACGCGCCGGCGATCATGCCGAGCGGCACGCCCCAGCCCGCGAGGCCCTTGAGCACATCCGTGAGGCCCTTGACGCGCACGACGTTCACCTTTACGTCGGGATTCTTCATCGCGGTCGTCACCATGCCGGTCCACATCTTGCCGATGGCCGCCATGACCGCCTTGCCGACGGGCCCGGAGGGTGGTACGCCGAGTACTGGCGGAATGATTCGCTGCCTCGCGCGCGAGGCTAGCAGATTGCGACTTCTCGACGAAATCGATTTGGTTGCCGCCAACATGAAGGCATTTGAGCGCCGCGCGCCGCGCGCACGCCGGCGCCTCCGCTTCTAAAGAACGATGCGGCTGCTCGTGCAAATGCAGCAAACCGAGCAATCCTGGTCGAGCCGCCGCCGGCAGCGGCGGCCACTGGCACGGCCGCGGCTCGCGCGCGGCGCTCAGGACGCGTCCGGCGTGCATAGAGCTGCGGATCGGCGCGCTACGCACGCACCCATCACCCCACGCTATACACGCATCCATCACCCCAGGGCCATGTCCATGTCCAGAGCCCCTCCCGAACAAGAGAGCAGACTCTCGAGGCCGCGCCGGCGTCTCCGAGCGTCGCGCGAACAGGCTGCGAACCCGCGACGAAAGACTCTTGAAAGAAACGAGAAGCGTGTTACGACCCCCCACCTCGATGCTGAGGAGGATCGCGCCGTCGACGCAGCGCGCCGCCATCCCCCGCGCCCCGCCTCAGTTCTCCTCCTTGTCCGACGTCTTCATCCAGCCCTGCGGATATCGATGGATCGCGCCGTAGGTGAACTGGGAGTCGAAGAGGAAGTGCGGGTAGTAGCACTCCTCGTTGTTGCCGCCGCCCTTGGCGACGACGGACGGCGTCGGGTAGAACCAGCCCGGCTGGTCCGTGCCGCTCTTGAGGCCCGGGTTCTTCTGGTTGTAGCGTGCGAGCGACGAGTCGTAGGGCCGGGACGGCATCTCTCCGAGGCGCGGGGCCATGGCGGCGGGCTCCGGGCGCGGCGCGGGAGGTCGTGGGCGGGGAAGCCGGCGCGTCGGCGGTCGACAGGCCCTCTTTCTGGCTTTCACAAGGCGACCGAGTGGGCTGCGGCTGGGGGCAAACATCTGGGGCAAACCTGGGGCTGCAGCCCTGAGGCGTTGTCCTTGATCCTTGAAGTGAGGATCGAGGCTTGTGCTCTTGATCGGCCATCACCACTCCGATCGCGTCGTCCCACGAGCTCAGCGCGTCAGGCAACGTCGACGACAACTATCACACCCCCAACAGCAACGAACCGGTCGCAACAGCCGCTGCAACTACGTCCATAAACCGTGAACGCCGCCGCGCGCCGCTCCTCTAAAAGATGTGCAAGCCCACCGGCGAACCGGGGTGCAAGGCGACGCTCGAGAAGGCGTGCGCCGCCTGCGGCGAGCACAAGCCCGAGGCCGACTACAGCAAGAAGCAGTTCGCCGCCAAGTCGGCCGCGCGGCGCTGCAAGGCCTGCGTCGCGGCCGGGAAGGAGGCCGGCGACGTGTCGAACGAGCTCCGCGCGCCCGCGCCGCTCGCGAAGACGCTCTGCTGGGACCTCTACTACCGGCTCCAGGGCGTGACCAAGGCCGCGCAGGCCGGCGCGGATTCGGCGAGCAAGAAGGACGCCTACCTGCGCGCGTCCGAGGGCCTCAGCGCGAAGGAGATGATGGAGCACGACTTCGCCGACGGCGAGGCCGCGAGCATGGCCGTGCTCCGCGCCATGGCGCTCCTCGACACGCCCGGCGGCGGCCCGGACTGCCGCCCGGCGTCCTTCCTCCTCGCCGCCCGCGGCATGCTCTGGCTCAGCCGCGACGCGCAGAAGCGGAAGCCGCTGCCGCCGGGCGAGTACGCGGGGCTCGCCATGGAGGGCGAGAGCCTCCAGGCGACGCTGCGCAACTACCTGGACCAGCTGAAGAAGCACGCCGAGTGCGCGCCCCTGGCCCTGGCCTCGTACGCCTTCGCCTGCGTGCGCTGCGTCGCCGTCGACGACGGCCACTCCGCGCGGCCGGCGTGGGCCGAGGCGTGGCTCGTCCGCGCGGAGTGCGAGCTGTTCCTCGGCGAGCTCCAGGCGGCGGCCAAGAAGGGCAAGAGCTCGGGCAAGCGGCCCGCGGGCCGCGTCGGGCCCTGGGGCGACGAGGCCTGGCTCGCGGGCGACGCGGCGGACCGGCCCTGGGAGCCGTCGGTGCCGGGCCACCCGGCGCAGCGCGGCGGCCTCGCGCGGCTCCACCTCGCGGACCACTGGTGGGGCCTCGACGAGACCACGGCCAAGCCCGTGCTCGTCGGCAACCTCGGGGCCTGCCTCGGGAGCCTCGAGACCTGCGAGAATTTGGCC